TGCGAACAAAAGTTTGTACTCAATGTGTTCTAATATTGCTGTAATTTGTATTATACAGTTCCTCCTGACATGAAAATATAACTGAATTACTGTGCGGCTATATATATTTACTTGATAAAGTGCAAATATGGTCAGTTTTGGTTGATGCGGACAAATAATTTTGTTATACGAGTCAGTCTGAGGTATGAAAACTACTGATATTTGATTACGATTCAATATTTTCAATAAAAAGAGGACATGTTGGCACTTTCTATTGATGCGAACAAAATTTTGTAGTCATTGTGGTCCAATATAGCTATCATTTGTTTTATACAATCCATCCTTGCATAAAAATATAACTGATTTACTATGCGACTATAAGATTTACATAAAAAAGAGCAAATTAAGTCAGTTTTTTTTTACGATTCAGTATTTTGCCTAAAAGAGGACATGCTGGCACTAAAAATTAATGCGAAGAAAATTTTGTAGTCATTGTTTTCCAATATTGCTGTCATTTGTATTATACAATCCATCCTGATATGAAAATATAACTGATTATTATGCAGCTATAAATATTTACATAATAAAGTGCAAATATGGTCAGTTTTGGTTGATGCGGACAAATCATTTTGTTATACGAGTCAGTCTGAGGTATAAAAACTACTGATATTTGTTTACGATTCAATATTTTCAATAAAAAGAGGACATGTTGGCACTCTCTATTGATGTGAACAAAATTTTGTAGTCATTGTTTTCCAAAATTGCTGTCATTTGTATTATACAATCCATCCTGATATAAAAATATAACTGATTTACTTGATGAAGTGCAAATATGGTCAGTTTTTGTTGACGCGGACAAATAATTTTGTTATACGAGTCAGTCTGAGGTATGAAAACTACTGATATTTTTTTCGATTCAATATTTTCAATAAAAAGAGGACATGTTGGCACTCTCTATTGATGTGAACAAAATTTTGTAGTCATTGTTTTCCAATATTGCTGTCATTTGTATTATACAATCCATCCTGATATAAAAATATAACTGATTTACTATGCAGCTATATACATTTACTTGATGAAGTGCAAATATGGTCAGTTTTGGTTGATGCGGACAAATAATTTTGTTATACGAGTCAGTCTGAGGTATGAAAACTACTGATATTTTTTACGATTCAATATTTTCAATAAAAAGAGGACATGTTGGCACTCTCTATTGATGCGAACAAAATTTTGTAGTCATTGTGGTCCAATATTGCTATCATTTGTTTTATACAATCCATCCTTGCATAAAAATATAACTGATTTACTATGTGACTATAAGATTTACATATTAAGAGCAAATAAAATCAGTTTTGGTTGATGCGGAAAAAAAATTTTGTTATACGAGTCAGTCTGAGGTATGAAAACTACTGATATTTGTTTACGATTCAATATTTTGAATAAAAAGAGGACATGCTGGCACTCACAATTGATGCAAACAAAATTTTGTAGTCATTGTGGTCCAATATTGCTGTAATTTTATATTATACAGTCCCTCCTGACCTAAAAATATAACTGAATTACTGTGCAGCTATATAGATTGACTTGATAAAGTGCAAATATGATCAGTTTTGGCTGATGCGGACAAATAATTTTGTTATACCAGTCAGTCTGAGGTATGAAAACTACTGATATTTGTTTACGATTAGATATTTTGAATAAAAAGAGGACATGCTGGCACTCACAATTGATGCAAACAAAATTTTGTAGTCATTGTGGTCCAATATTGCTGTAATTTTATATTATACAGTCCCTCCTGACCTACAAATATAACTGAATTACTGTGCGGCTATATATATTTACTTGATGAAGTGCAAATATGGTCAGTTTTGGTTAATGAGGTCAAATAATTTTGTTAAACGAGCCATCCTGAGTCGGAGAGTCTAAGATGTGAAAACTGCTTGATTTTGGTGATGATTTAATTATTTGAATAAAAGAAGGACATGCTTGAACTGATTTTTGTGCTGCAGAAGAAATTTACTATGATCAATTTTCAATTAATTAAAGAGGTGTTATAACATTATTAATAAACTGTTAATGTCAATCGAAAATGAACAGTTGGTCATTTAATTTTGATGTAATTTATCATTGGTATTAAAGGTCAGTGTATCCAGGATACGATGACAATTTGCGTTAACGGGCGTTTACTACAAACAGCAAACGTGCGTTTACTTTTGACGAAATGAGAAGACGCGCCTCTTTCACGTTAACGCGGAAGTAAATGCGAAAGTTAATGCCTGTTTACTCTTTAAAAAATTAGAAGACGCGCCGATTTTGCGTTAACGCGGAGGTAAACGCGAAAGTAAACGCCCGTTTACTTTTTATGTCTACTGAAATTTCGGAGTTAACGCACAGTTAACGCGGCGTTTACTTGACGTGCAAGCGAGTAAACGCCGCGTTAACTTTTTCCGCCCGTCTACATGAAATGATTGGTCTGCACCCAACTGTATGTATCAAAATTATAGAAGATGAAGAAAAACTGTAAACAGCAAGAATAATCAGATCAGTAAATTTATCAACACGGCCGAAATTGTCAGTCGATGTGTATTCATTGTTTGGCATACAATGCACAAATAGTAATAGATAAAGAAAAAACATAAACAGCAAAAATGATCTGCAAGACATGATCAAGAAACTAAAACATCTAAATGTAGAGCCTCTGGTTTTGACTAGAAATGTTAAAACAATGTCAGATGTTCATTAAATATAAATATTTGAATGTATTTGTAGTCGATTGCTTTGCCAGTATGTGTTTGCATATACTTTTTAGAGGTCAGGTTTTATTGGTCAATGTATGTACTAATCTTAAGTATAAATAGCATAAACTGGACCAACATGTGTCATAGAAAAACTGCACAGATCTTTTGATAAATCAAGATAAAAAGTCCGTTTTATTGTTCCTGACATACTGCGGATTAAAGTGTATCATTCCGTATTCACAGCATATACATCATGAACATGATATAGATGTGTAAGATTCCTGACCAACAGCAGATATATGTGTATGATTCCTGAACCACAGCAGATAGACTTGTATGAATCCTGACACACAGTATATGGAAGTGTATGATTCCTGACACCCAGCAGACAGAAGTACATGATTTCAAGTTCGGTTTACATACCCATGTACGCTCGACTCCGAAAACTTACTCAGTAGTTTTATGGTGTCATGCACCCCTCTGAAGTGATAGGTCAATGGTATGATCTTCAAATGGGTAAAACTAAAAACTTAAAAATGTGTGTTAACTGTTTCTCCAAAAAGATAAATCATTTAGGAATAATAGCAAAGGCTGGTCGGCTCAGACATACGACAAATTGTATCTGAGCAGGGTTCATATACATATCACATTAGCATTATCCCTTTCTGAACTTTAAATACCAATTTATCCAACCTTCCATGGAATCAAAAGTTAGCAGACTATGAGTGACGAAGAAGTAAAGGGACAATAAAAACCAGAAGTCAAATAACGAAATAAATGTTTAACAATATTTGACCGAAAACACTTTGCAACACATATTTGATAATGTTTTGAAGAACATTGAATCGAAAAGCAAATGCATAAAAAGGGGATGTGTATTTAATTGGAGACAACAATCTAATGCTTTATGATGCTCTTCATCATTAAATGTTTGTACGGTTCTATAGTGAGTAAAACTCTCTTATATTTTATATAACACGACTAGTGACTGTACAGTTCAGATACACTCGTCAACTAACATGGTCTGCTAATTCTTTGCACGTTCTTTAGAAAAGTACTCATTTCATGGCACGTTATTTCCAGTTACACCAGTCCTGTAAATACCATCGGAAAGTTTAACGTTCTCATTCCATTGTGTAATATTTCTAGTTACACATGTTGGTACCATTGAAAAAGACCTCAGTTTACGATATTTCTATTTGCACATATAGACATGGTAGATATCATTGGAAAAGTTCTCATTTCATTGTACAATATTTCTAGTTACACCTGTAGATACCATTGGAAAAGTCTGTGTTTCGTTGTAACTAAACTCCAGTATACACCTGTAAATATAATTGGGATAGTCTAAATCTTTTTGATCTATGCCTACAGTCTACATCTGTATATATTGTTGGACAGTCTTTGTTTGGTTGTAACATAGCTCCAGTACACACTCAGAAAAGGTTTTGTTTCAATGAACCATACATATCATACCTTAAGTAAATGACTGTCGATCTATTTATTTATATTAATTACTCAGATATATATAATTTACAAACTTGATGTATATGTGCATTACCGTAGATTTAAAAAAAACCATATCATTAAAAAAAATAACACAATCTAGAGGAAATAGTAAATCCCTCCTTTTTTCTGTTGAGGAAGGAAGATTGAACATTTAATTCATGAAGATATTAATCACAATGAATAAAACAGGTAATTTGTGATTCATATATAACTTCACATTACATGTAGTTGTGGCATCATGGAAAATGCCTCTTTGCATGTTTTTTGTGAAAATTCATAGATTATGGCCAATCTGCTATTAGTTGTATACCCTCAAATATAGAGGACAAGCAAGACAATATTTGTCTATATGGACATCACCTCCATGAACAAAATTATTTGGTACGTGTATGCGCTCAAATTATCCGAATCTTAAACGTGGATCAACATTTGTTGTCATTTTTGGATAAAACTAAATTGTATGCTATATCTTTTATCTTTTGAACTTACAATCACAGTAAACATTCATTAGATTCCATGTGGTTTAAATGTTTTTACAATTGTATCAATTATCTTAACACAAAAATCATTCTTTAATTATTCAATTTAGAGGCTAATAAGAGACCTTGCTGCTAATCATCCTCTATTTACGAATGTTCTTCTTAATTGGTATATAATTAGTGTTTGTCTTTTTTTTTTTTACCTCACCAGTAACTTGCACTTCTAGATATATTAAGTTAGTATACTGTGTTAACAAAATTGAGTATTGTCTGTCATTTTTTGTTTACATTTTAGGGATACAACAACTTTTGGTCCGAGCAACTTCTGATTTATCTTCCTCTTACAATTCAACCAAGCCTCGGTAAGTATTATTTATTTTATTGAACACTTTTGTATACATTTGTATCCTAATCTATCATGTCTACTCTGCATTTTGAGATGCAAAATATTAATTTTCAGCCTGTCTTGTGTCAAGTTATTTATTTTCAGTTCTTACCAGGCCAACTTTTTTTTTAGTAAATCCTCCTGACCCTTTATTCCCTGTTGAAGGCCGCCAGTGACCTATAATTTTTAACCTCTTCGTCATTTATAACACCAGAACTATAATACCTTTAATAAGTAACTACTACCAAAAACAATTACATATAAATAAAAATCAATGAAATATTTCATACGATAGCTAGCCATATGAGATATTTTTTGTCTGTTTTACACCTATAATATTCTCCTTTTGTTGGCAGGGGCTATGTTGTATAGTTAGCTGTATCATAGCTTGTGATTTGATAAAGTTATGCAGTGTTGAATGCGGGTGGCATAGACCCCTCCCCCACAATTGATTGGGATGAAATAACTAAACTGTTTCACTCAATCTCAACAACAGGTCAAAAGTGAAGGAAATCAATCCAAGCAATTTAGCTGCATGTGATAAATACTCAATTATGTATGAAATGAGTACAAATGTACCATAACACTAAAATTACAATAGTGAGCTTATTTGATCAAATCTAGCCTTATGATGCAATTTCTTGAAAAAGAATCAAAACAAAGGTTAGTTCTTGTACACTTGAGTATATGTTTTATTTTCCATACATAAAGTCCAATAATTCTGGAATGACAAAACTTGAATTCGTCAAAAGCAAAAGGGAGATTTGTTTCGTCTTGTGTTAAAATTTCAAGATAATGGGTTAAGTATTTAGAAATATTGTATGAAGTGTTGACCTTGTATATCATAAAAATTGTTCAGGATCGACCAAACTCGCAAACATTCAAAGAAAAAAATTACACTCATGCAAAAGAAAGTGAAACACTTGTGGTCAAAGGGAAAATTCAGCAAAGCAATATCACCGTTATATAATTCCTTATGTTTTATTGTTTTCATTTTACAACCAAAAATGTGATTGCAAAATTTACTGTTTTTGAAAATATCATAAAAAAATGAAGTCAATATCTGAATTTATTGCAAAATACATTTCACTTATCCACATCTCCATTTTAATGTTGACGAGTCTCTAATATCTAAATTCCTCTTTTTACAACAGTTGTGTGGGTAGTAGGAGTGCACAGACTGCTAAAGTTTCATTTATTAAATGCTGCGTTAGTTCAGCAAAAAATTCTGCTACATGTAATAATCTCTCAGACAACATGGGTTATCTGGTGGGGTTACCAATTAAGAAACAATTCTGCACATAAATGTGTCTCTCTTAATAAATTTCATATTAATTACTGAATCCAGGTATTAAAATTTCATCCTCCAGTAAAATTATTCCTCTGACAGGATCTGTTGTTTACTGAAAATAAGAAAATATTTGGTTATTAAATGAAGTTTGTTAATTCAATCAAGAGTTATGAAGAATGATAATTATTATATTGTATTTCATTGTTACGTCCATCGAAGACCCCAATATGGTCTGATCAAGTAAATTCTCTTATCTGAAAAAATGGTCAAATTGAATAAATTTTCAAGAATTTTGGTAAAGGTGGTTAGTAATAAATTTAAAGATAAAAGCTTTCAGAAACCTCATGTTAAAACTTCATCAGGATATGATGCACATCATGTAAGAGTTACTTCACTATATTGTTTTCGATCATATAATTATTATATGGAATTTTAATTACTGTACCCTTCATTCTTTGCAATTAAGTTTCAAATCTGAAGGAAACAATATTGACTTTTACAGAACATAGACAATAGAATAAAAGTATACCATTGGGCATTAAAGTCTGTGAAGGATTACTTGGCCTATCCTATAAATTTATTTTAAGTGCCAGCTCTAACTTATTCCATTGGGAACTTTCATGTCTGACCGTTAAATGAGGAATATTTGCACAGCCTGTTTCCCTAATAAAAACAGTTTGAATACAATATATATTATATTTGTTTCATACTTTGGGGGATTGAAACCATAGTACATTGTAACTAGCCCACTTTTGTAACCATAAACAGACACTTTTTGGTTACTTACCCCTAATATATTGTAGTCATATTGTTTTCAACTAAGAAAAGTAATTTTGCTTCCAACATGTACAAATGTACATCACTCTATGTAAATGTGTTGTTGCAATATATTTTATATGTAAAAGTTCTCCGTTTAATCCATTAGTGAACATCTTTCTCCATCCTGTAAATACAAAGTGTATGCACATACAACAAATTAGCCAAAGACAGGAGGCTTTTATTAAATTCCTCACAGGAAAATTAAATCTATCATTGTTATCATCAACACAGACATGTTACCAACAAAATGCATGTCTTATACAAAATTATGCCACCTATTGCCCCCTTACATTTTTGCTATATATAAGTGACAGGCAAAAAAAAGCATTTCTTGAAAAAATAATTATAAGGTTTAACATTGAGCAAATCTATGTTATACCAAACCTTTTGATTACATTTTTATATTCAATATTCTACATAAACATCATTAACATGTACATTGTAGATACATGCTGAAATTTTATACATTTTGGGGACAACCACAACCCATTTGTTTTGATTGATGGAACCACCACTGCCATGACCAAATTGTCACTAAATCACAACTTTGATTTGATTATATTAATGAAGTTTGAGAAAGTAATATTGTGAATGGATTTTCAGTTTTAATTAGATTGCTGGAACAATATAACATGTCAGATACCTGTATAATGAAATTATAAGAAGCATTATTTTGTTATTTTTTGTAAATTTCTTTGATAATCTCAGAGATATGAACATGATGAATTTAGAGGATGGCTATTTAATTTAGATTTATTTATTTTTTGGGGGGAAGGGGGCAGGAGTATTAGGGGTCTGGTAAATGTACATGTAATCATGGTAATAATCTAAATATTGCTTAAGAATTTTGACACAGGATTAAATGATTTTCTGTCCAATAACAAGCAGGAAATAATTCTCTAATTTGTGTACAGATTGGAAATAAATGTTCGTGTGGCAAGGCGAACGTAGATAAGCCATAAACAAACATCTTTCTCCATCCTGTAAATACAAAGTATATGTACATACAACATGAACAATTACTCTAGCAATATAAAAAAATTAAAATTCTGTCGATCCCCTTAAATTCCTTTAGCGAAGAGTTCTCGAAAAGTAGTCGGCGGGAGGTTTTGACGACCAAATTTTGAGTTGTATGAAATGGGACAAATATATTTATATTAGACCAGGAAATAGATATAGTGGATGCAACTATGCATATTACTCATGACCAGATAAAGAAAAGATCGGCAAAATACCAAACTGAAAAAAAACCACATCAATTCATTTCAGTCGAAAACATTGTGACAGCACCCTGGAAAAATATGAAAAAAAACATGAAACATGGAAAATCTTAACTTGATCAACATGATCAAGCCTCAGTTTTAACTAAAAGATTAAACAAACATGAATAATTGACAATATTTAAACAACAAGGAACTGAATCCTGTATATCCTCCCAGGTAATATTATGAATAGAACATAGAAATACTTGATTCTTTCCAAGTGTTTAATGCTATAGCCTGACCATTAGTGTTTGAAATAAAACAAACAAGTAATGTTTAGCCTATCCATCAGTGCTGTAGATAAAAAAGGACCTCATCTACCCTCGTCATCAGTCCTATAAATGAAACAAAGATAATGTACTCCATCTACCCATGTCATCAGTCCTGTAAATAAAACATAAATATGCTGAACTCCATTTATCCTAAACATCAGTCATGTAAATGGAATATAAACATACTGTACTCAATCTTCCCTTGTCATCAGTCCTGTAAATGAAACATAAACATATTGTACTTCATCTACCCTTGTCACCAGTCCTGTAAATGAAACATAAACATACTGTACTACATCTAGCCTTGTCATTAGTCATGTAAATGAGACATACAAATCTGGACTCCTTCTAGACAAATCTTCAGTGTTTCAAACAATTATAAAATAATGTACCTTTATTTGTCTGGTCATCAGTACTGTTAATAAGGTTTTTCTACTCTAGGGTATAGATTGCCTTACTTAATTTACATAAAGGATTTTGTTATTTTTTTTAAACGCTATTCGACATCGTATTTGACTGTTTGATTTGGCTTTCCAACTGGTTTTTATTCAAGAATATGTAGACAAAACGCGAATTTGGTGTACCAAATTATTAACCTCGTATTTTTGTAAAGTTTTTTTGCAAATGCTTTGAAAGATCTACTTGAAAATTAATACATTTGTTTGAATGAAGGGATAGTTGTCCTATATTTCAACGAGACAGCAAATATGAACAAACCAACAACCACATGGACGGAAATAAACAAAAGGCAGCTGTCTATTCAATTATTTTTAAGCTTTAAATTGTTTCGAGTCCATAGAAATAGTAAATAAATTGAACAGAAACAATCAAAGATTTGTCTTAAATACCTTAAATTTCAAATAACGAGAATACAAGACTTACCTGCAAAAGTGTGCATATCCAACGAGTTAGAAATATACAGAACTTCAAAGATTGACTACAAATATGTTCATCTCTTGGTCTTCTTCCGACCGTCAGTATTATCCTTTCCAGATTTGGGCTTTCGCTTTTATGTGCGTGATGCATAAATTTGTAGTCCCATCCTGTCAAATTAGAACGTTAGTTTAATGACACGTGTAGAGATACCCCCTCCCGTGATTATGTACATTAATGGTGTCCCCTCTCTTTACTTGAAAACTCCTTGAGTTGAAACAAAAATATGATTGTTCCCCCCCCCCCTTCTGAAATGTATTAAGTACATAGAGGTAAACTGTATATCGGAATGCATGGACATCAAGTTACATGTAGTTGATATATATTTAAGTTCTTGACATGACAACACATTTAGAGTCATGTCTCTGCTCTATACTAGTGGATATTTCAATGTTTAAAACATTGAAACATTTATAGCGATGTTAAATATTACGAATTTAAGTGGGACATCTTTGAAAAAAAAATTTTTTAATGGAATTATCTGTTCACTTAAAAAACAATACAACTCAATAGACTTAATTGCAAGCAACATATTTTTGAGATGGTTCCCATACTAGTTTTTTGAACCATTAGTTTCTAATGTACACATGGCTCACTTGGCTCTGAAATCCTGACATGGGTTTTTTTCCCCAAGCAATCTTTTGTAAAGCAGGTACAACTATGTGTTCAGTTCTGTTAAACAGCAATGTTTAAACATCTTAAGTGACCAGTGTATTACAATCTTTAATTTAATGTTCATTTTTTACAGGACATGGAAGAGGAAACTTTGGATGAGGTAAGAACATCAAAACCTCTTAAACAACTTATATAGTGTGACTTTACTCTCATAGAATATTGTTATGTACTTGTAAGTTTGAGTTAACTCAGAATAAATATCAATATTTTTGCAAAACTTATGAATATGTCTTAGATAACAGATAGGTGTATATCCAATATGTCAATGACACAGCTACCAACTACACAAGTAACCCTGTATAAGTCTTCATAGAACTTTCAATAACAGATCACTGTCTTTTTAATATATCAATGAGACCTCTACCCAACATCAAAAGTAACCAATGGGCCTCGGTGGCCAAGTGGTCTAAGTAGTTCTACTACTGTAATCACTAGCCAGTCAACACTGAGGTTGTGAGTTCGAACCCCGCTCGTGCGGGTGCACTTGACTCCAATCTTAATTGACTAGGATTGTCAGTTTTCCTATCGAAGGTCGGTGGTTTTCTCCGGGCACTCCGGCTTCCTCCACCAATAAAAACTGGCCGCCACGAAATAGCCCAAAGGTGGCGCTTAAAACATTGTAAAAGTGGCGTTAAAACACCAACAATCAATCAATCAATCAAAAGTAACCATGCATAGGTCAACTTACGGTTTTTAATAACAGATCAATTGCAATTCAATATGTCAATGTGACAGCTACCCATGAATACAAATATATATTTAGGAGTAATACCACAATGGTTTTTCCCCTATTTGTCTTTCTTAAAATGGCATTTTTTTTAAATTATGCAGAATCTATCTTTGTTTCGAATAAAAAACTACTTGGCATGAGTAAAATTGTATCCTCTCCAGTACTACAGCGAACATTTCACATAACATTTCATTGCATGTAAGATAATAACCATTACCGGAAGTAGACCAATCAAATTTTTACCCCCTTTTTGTCCTGTTTACAATTTTAAGTAATCATGTCACCTTATATTTTCAAAATATTTTATAGAAACACAGAAAAAAAAAGAATGGTGATTCGAAACCCACAATATATATGTTGATGAATCAGAAATGTTTTACTGCAATAAAATGTAGGATTAATTTTAATTAATTAACTGTCAAATTCAAGGAAATAATTTTTGTCAATCCTTTTTCGTATGAAACCGGATGTGACGTACATATATATTATGAGTTTGTGTTATAACACCTAAAAATTGTCAATATCAACTAACACATCACTGCATATGTCTATTCATGCAAATGAAAATCTCCATACGTGAGCTATATTAGATCAACTACAAGCTCAACATCAGAAAAAGAATTATTCAAATAATCAGACAAACAAATAAGAATTATAAAGGAGGAGAAAAAAAAACCAAGGGGCAATGAAAAAACATAAGGAAGGAGGAAAAAAAGAGGACAAAAAGCATAAGGAGAGAGTAAACAACTAAGAGCAATACAAAAACATAAAGAAGGAGGTGGAAATTAAACCAAAGAGAGAAAACATATTCGAAGGAAGATGAATGAAACCAAGGGGATAACAAAAATACACGAGAATGGAAGAAGAAATGAACAAAAAGAGCGATAACAATTAAAAAAGGAGGATGATAGAAACCAAGTGGGCATTTATACATTCAAAAGATGGACGAAGACGGATACGAAAGGACCAATACAAATATATCTACATACGTGTGAATAGATTTATAATCTATATTAGATCGACTACAAGCTCAAAATCAGAAAAAAAAACAATTATATAATCAGAGACAAACAAATGAGTATTATCAAGGAGGAGTAAAGAAACCAAGGGGCAATGAAAAAAACATAAGGAAGGAGGAACAAAAGAGGACAAAAAGCATAAGGAGAAAGTAAACAACTAAGAGCAATACAAAAACATAAGGAAGGAGGTGAAAATTAAACCAAGGAGAGAAAAACATATTCGAAGAAGATGAATGAAACCAAGGGGATAAAACAAATACACGAGAATGGAAGAAGAAATAAACGGAAAGAGCCATAACACTTAAAGAAGGAGGATAAAAGAAACCGAGTGGGCATTTATACATTCAAAAGGTGGACGAAAACGGATACGAAGGGATCAATACAAATATAGACGGAGGGGGGAGTTAAAAACCAAGAAAGACAATTAAAAAAATGCTGGGAAGAAAAGCAATATAAACATCAGGCGGAAGGAGGTAGAAAATAAAGGGCACAATTATGGTACAAAGAGGGGAGAGGAGAGAAACCAAAGTTACAATTCAAATCCATAAAGAGGGTTGAAGACATAAAACAAGGGGGCAGCAACAAACATAAGGAGGGAGGTGGAAAGAAAGGAGACACAATCAACACATAAGGAGGGAGGAAGAAAAAAAACAAGGAGGCAATATCAAAAGAAACATTAGAAGGGATGAGGAGAAAAACCAAAATTGAAATGAACAAACATAAAGAGAAGGGAAAAGAACAACTAAGAAGGTAATGGGAATACAGAGGGAGGAGGAAAGAAAGAGCTAATTAAAATATACGAATAGAACCATGCCGGCAATTAAAATGATATTGAAGCAGGAGGAATGAAATCAAGTGGACAGCACAAAAATCACAAGGGAAACGGAGTAAAGAAACCAAAGGCGATAAAAAAACGAACATTAGGGCGGAGGTCAAAAAACAAAAAGGGCAGTTAAAATCATGTGGAAAGAGTAGGAAAACAGGGGGCAATGTAATTAAACTTATCAAAGAAAACATAACCAAGGTGACAATAAAAAACGTAAGGAGTGGAGTAGAAGGAAACCAAGGGAACAAAAGATAACATCCGAACAGAGAAAGAAAAAAAACGAGAGGGGCTATTAGAAACATAAGGGAGGAGGTAAAACACAACCGAGGACGATACAAGTAAGAAGAATGAATAAAGAGAATATAAACTAAGTGGGAACTACGTATTATAACATAAGGAGGGAGAAGGAAAAACCAAGAAGGAAGTAAACAAAAACCAAAAAAACGGGAGGAGATAGGAAGGAATCTATGTACACATAAATATAGAGGAAGACAGAAACCAAGGGGTGCAATTGATAAGGATAGGATCCAAGTTACAATATACTAGTCCAGTACCCACGAATGAAGTCCCTTAATAAATCTTCCATCTTTTAAATGGGATAGTGTAGCGAGATTAAAACTATGTAAAGATGCTTAAAATTGTAGTATTGTAAACTGTATTCATTAAACTTTCAACTTCTGTTTAATTTTGAGTGATTCTGAAATGTATATGGTGGATGATTGTCTGAGTAAATGGTCCAAATTTTATTTCCGATTTTAACCAGAAAGTTACTTAAATGACCCTATTAATACTCAAACCAGTATTGCTCTCTGAAATGCCGGTCATGACCCTCTAAGAATACTCCAGGAAACAATGAAGAGGGCTACTAGTATGGGAAAGTAACTGAAATTTTGTAGTCTAATATAGGGAATAAAACATCTGCCCCTCGATTTGGATAAAACTGCATTGAAGTAATGGGGAAAGTCTTTGGGTCCCCGTTCCTTATACGAAAAGAGGATGTAAGAAACAAAAAAAGGCAATACAATTACATTATGAGGGAGGAGTAAATTAACCAAGAGGCAATAAACAATATAAGTAGACAGGAGGGAAGAAGAGCGACAAAAAATAAAACATCAGAATGGAGGAGGAAAGAAACTAAAACGGCAATAAAAACACATAAGGAGGGAGGAGAAAAGAAACCAAGGGGGCGGTACAAAATATAAGGAGAGGGTAGGAAAGAAACCAAGGAAGGCAATTAAGACAAAAGCAGGGAGGAGACATGAAAGAAAGGAGACGATGAAAACCAAAAGGCGGAAAGAAGTAGGAAAGAGGGGCACAACTATTGTATAAAAAGGCGAAAGGAAAGAAACCAAGGGTGATATTCAAAATCATGGATAGAAGACATGAACCAAGGGGGAAGAAACACCATAAGGAGGAAGATTGAAAGGAAGGAGACAAAATCAAAACATGAAGAAAGACGAGGAAAAACCAATAAGGCAATAAACACATCAGATGGGTGGAGGAGAAAAACCAAAGTGCAATACACAAACATAAGGAGAGAAGAGTTGGGAAAACCATGAGGGTAGCAAAACATCAAACGGGAGGAGTAAAGAATGAGACAATACAAACGTCATAAGGGATTAGGAAAGCAACCAAGGGGGCAATACAAAACATAAAGAGTGAGGAGGACACAAAACAAAGGACGATATTTTATTTGGAAGGAGATTAAAAAAAACTAGTCGTAAATACAAATACACGAGACGGGAAAAAGAATGAAACCAAGGAGACGATAAAAATAAAAAGGAGGGAGAATAAAAACTAAGTGGGAAATACAAATGATAAGGAGACAGGAGGAAAGAAACCGAGAGGACAACACAAAAGGGGAGGGAAGAAAGAAACCAAAGGAGCAAACCAAACAATACAGAAACATAAGGACGGAAGGGTAAAATAAAGAAGCCATTAAAAATTACAATTGGCGAGTAGGAACGAAGGGGGCACAGCAAACATAAGAATGAAAGAGGAAAGAAACCAAGGGGGCAATAAAAACATTAAGAAGGCGTAGGAAGGAAACTAACCGGGCAATACAAAACATCAGAAACCAAGGTTTACACAAAAACATAAGGAGTGAGGACAAAACAAAACCAAGGACGATAAGATTATAAGGAAGGAAAAACAAGTGGGCAATAAAACACACGATGAGAGAGGGCAATACAAACATAAGGAGACAGGAGAAATGAAGAGCAACAATGAAAAAAAAAACATAATTATTGAGGAGGAAAGAAACTATAACGACAATAACAACATATAAAGTGGGGTGAGAAAATAAAACTTGGAGACAGTAAACAACACAAAGACGGAGGACGAAAAAGGGATAATTTAAAAAACGTCAGATTGGATGAGGAAAGAAACCAATGGGGCAATGAAAACACATAAGTATGGAAGAAAAAAAATCAAAGGGCAGTAACACACATAGGCAGGAAGACATGAAGGATGAGAATACAAAAAAATCAAACGGAAGAGCATAGAAACCAAAATGGCTTTACAAAAACCATAATTGGGAGAGGAACAAAACTAAGATGGCAATCCAAATGATAAGGTGGGAGACTTACACATATATAAGTATGGAGGACGGAAGAAACCAAAGGGCAATATAAAACATAAGGATTAGGAGGAAATTAACCAAACGAGAACAAAACTTAAGGAGTGAAGAGGATAGATACTTACAGTAGGGAGAATCAAAAAACATGACTGAGGAGGAAAGAGGCCAAGGAGCATAACAAACATCGCAGGATATAAAATAATAAGCAAGGAAGAGGATAGTAACAGAATGAGGAAACACAATAAGGAGGGAGGTTGAGAGAAACCAATAGGACAATATTAGCATACAGAGTGAAGAGAAAAGACACGAAGGTGCAATACACAAACTTTTGGAGTGAAGAGGATAAATAAAAAGGAGCAGTAGGAAAGAATACTTTGAATTAAAAACAAAAATAAACACAAGATGGGGGAAGGAAAGAAATGAAGGTGGCGATTTAAAACGTGAAAATAAGAAATCAACCGAATTGGCAATACAAACATCAATTTAAAAAAGTAAAACAAAAGCTAGGTAAATGACAAAAAGGCACAACACAACCTACATGTAAATTTACTCAATGATCAACATGAACCAATCTAGGAGAATACAATAAAGAACTCAGAGTGCTCAAACAAGGTAAGCAGATTTTGTTCCACTAGTGACATCCGAACGTTACTCCTGTCAACATAAATTATCAATTGATAAAAATACATCACATAACTATTATGAACTTAAATAAAAAGAGATATGAAATACACCTTCATTAGACAGCAAGCCAACGACAAAACGAAAACAAATTAATGTTCTTTGAGAAGTCTTTACCAATTGACATGTGTCTGCTCAAAACAAGTTCAATTCATGTAAATCTAAAACATTGTTAATATGATAAATAAAGATTAAAAAGGCCTGCAATCAAAACAAATTTCTCTAAATACAAAATGACAACAGACAATTAAAGACAACGAATTTGAGGAGCGACGACTGGTTAGGTGCTGTGTGCAAAACTTCAGATCACGTGGTACGATTCTAGCGTCCCTTCGTCAATTTTAAATATGGAAAAGAGATGTTTTTATATCGAGTGTACTTTTTTTTAATGCATTGATATTATAACATAATTTTTCCCATAAAAATATGTATCGACGACCGATTATCACTTTCACGAGTTTATTTAATTTTTTTTGCTTTTTATGCGTAAATGATATTATAAAAGAAGCTTCCCCTTTATAGTGGGGATCTTATTTGATCTCTGTAACAATACAAGGCACGTATTTTTTGTAAATATTTAAAAAATCGTCAGTGATTAGCCTTAAAATTTATATCACGGAAAGAACAATGTTTATACAATCTAAATTTGGAAAGGTCTCCCAAAGTCTCCATCCATTGCTGCATAATACCTCATTAAAACCGGGGAAAAAATCTTTCTGTTAGGCGTTTCTTATGAAATTTCATAAACTACTGGTCAAATCTTTCAAAACAAAAGTTAATTTTTTAAAAACAAAAACCATTTATTTCGTGAATCTAAGTAATATTAAAATACAATGAAAATTAAAGCAATCCGAAAAACAATGTACAATAACTGTTGTTGTTTGTATTGTGCCGATGTTTTGTGTATTGAACACCCATACGTTCTCTCTTATGGTTCATCGATTTCGTGTACTGACAAATGACGCATTTTTTTTGATAGTTTTTTCGTTTTTCTTTTTAACAGTAAGAACTTAAAACCATTAATTAAAATCACCGAATGAGTATTCAAAGACATTGGACGGCTTGTAGGTTCTAACTTGTGTATCTCGATTTTGTATACTGACAAAAGATAGAATTTAAAAAAAAAAATATTTTATAAAAATTTTAACAGAATTAAAAAAACAAAAATAGTGAATGAGTTTTAAATGATAATCCATGCCGAAATAGTACGAACTACCCCGGGAAATAGCAGTTCAACATGTTCAATATGGGAATAAATACTTGTATGTATATATTCACGGCAAAAAAGACCACATCTTCTTATCTTTATATTACCAAATTAATTAATTAAATATATACGTGTATGTAGATTGTATAATCATTACATCTGTATATTACTGCTAATGTTTATACTCTCATTCAACAAATTTCGAATGCCCAAGTTTAGTTCACAGTCCTTGTAATCAGACATTTTCGAAAAGTCGTCTTCACTGACATTTACACCGACACCGATACATACACTGACTACAAAATATAGGGACCGTATCAAAATGCCGAAACATACTGAATGAATGAATGACCTCGTAAAACTTGGTTGCATATATCAAAATATACAGAAAAAAAGTAAAATAACAAAAAGAATACGAACTCAATGGAAAATTTAAATCGGAAAGTCCCTTACCAAATGGCAAAATCAAAAGCTCAAACACATCAAACAAATGGAAAACAACTGTCATATTCCTGACTTGGTACAGGCATTTCCTTATGTTAGAATGTATTTTTTATTCAGAATAGGAGTTAGAAGCACCAAATGCTCTCATTTGTTTCGGATTATTTAAGTAATGAATTTGTGATATTCCATCTGTTTTGTGTTAATTGTCTCTGTTTACAACCATTCAAACTAAATAGTGTTGAGGTAGAATATACAATTGGCGATTTGAATTGCTAAAAGTATTCGGAACATAAATAAAGTATCTTATTTCTTATAAAATAAGCATATATTAAGCCAATGTAAATCAACTGGCCTTAGGATTTGTAATGGACGTTTTGGTTATTCAAGTATAGAATGAAAATGGTTGTAGTGTAAAATTCCAGCAAAAATAACATACCGAGAGTTAAAAAAAAACTCTTTTGACAAAATTCCCAAAATTAAATTTTCTAAACTAAACACAAAAATAAAATTTTGAAACCCCCCCCCCCCCCCCCCCCCCACTTCCGCCCTTTTTTGTAAAAAAAAAATTGTATATCAAAGTAATATTTGACAACGCTCAAAAGTACCGGTGTTGATATGTGAAGGGGTCGTTCTTCATAAGAATTCTTTCAATTTTATACCAAGGTATAACATTAGTAAAAGAACGTTTTCTTGAACTTATCAGGGGTGTACTGAATTTTACATTGCATTTTCAACACCGATGTAAAATTCCGTACACCCCTGAATACACTAAGATAACACATAATATCATCTGTATATTCATAAGTTCTGTTTCACGCTATAAAAGAATTTACACGTTCTTGTTTCTGATTAAAGTTCTACTAATTTACACAATACCCCCGCTTTTTTTACAATATCAAGATTGGTCAATTCTCAGCTACTAAACAGAGCTAATAAAGTAGGAAATCATTCATAATAAAAGTTTTATACATTATTTAAAACGTAAATTAGAAGAAAAAATATAATATAAATGCATGTGGTCGTAGAATATATTGAGATGATCCCTTCTCAAAAAAGGTTACCTGTAGGCATAGGTATAGGTGTAAGCGTCGGTATCGAATAGTTTTCGAAAATGTCTATTAATGACACAACATCACTGCGACCACTCGATAATATAAGACAAATATGCGTGTCCTGTGCAAGATGTCGTCCCTCCTCTAGACATGAACTAAATATAAAGTGTTATATGCAAAGAATATTTAATGAATTATACACATACAAAAGAGATATATAAGCACATATATATGTATATTTATTCTTGCATAAACATTTACAAATCAATAAAATATAAATATGGTAAACAAAAACAGATATTTCAACTTTAAATATTAAAACTAGATTCAATGATTAAACAACGCAATTTTTAACTAACAAAATGATGTCTAATGACGTCACAATGATGAGTGCAAATTACGTCATTTACGGGAAAATGAACAAAAGCACAGAGTTTTGGGTGTTTTTCTTTTGGTATTAAATTGTATAAGCATTGGCACATCTCATTCTTATGAAAGAGATGTGCCAATGCTTATACAAGTTAATACCAAATATCATTGATTCATCATTAGTAGTATCACTAAAACTAACCTTATCACAGACTTTAACAAATTGTTTACTCCGAAGCTTCAACTGTTAATAAAAAAATACTCATGTTGACCAACTTTTACATTAAGGTATAATTTTCTCAAACACTGCTTTTAAAAAGTTGAAAATATTATTTGTATATAGTAAAATATGTAGTTTTCATGGGCTACATAACAAAAAGCTTAGATGCAATAATTGAGGGCCCGAATGGAGTTTTTAAAATATAGAAAAATGAACGGAATCTACAAACATGACAGAAAAAAAAAGAGATTAGAGAAAGTGGGGTGCTCAATACAAAGAACACATTATTGTAAATGTGTGTTTGGGTGCAAGGAAAAAGTCACTTCTCCCTAAAATGCCCATGTGTAGTGACCCCTACATTGTATTTCATTACATACAAATTATCATAAGAACCAATGAAAAATGATAATGGATGAAAAACGTAATAACAATATAAACTGACATTTGTTTGCCCTTCTTTTGTGAAAAAGAAAATCTTACTAATCTAATACCATCTTCAAAAGATATAAACTTAACGCAGTTGATCAGTTGCAACCTATCCAGAAACTAAATAGTGCTTCAGTTTGATAATTAAATACCCCATAAATAGTTTCCAAGAAGGAAAACAAAAATCTTAAAATGAAAAAAAAAAACAAAAACAACAAATTGAACAGCCTACTAATAGCAACATCAAATAATCATTATAAAACGTAACAACTGCTTTTAAACTGACTTACAAACCATCAAAAGCATAAGAAAGGTACGTAAAAAAACACTTGCAGAAGCCTAATTTTCCTGAATTGGACGAGTCTAAATATATTCAACTTAAAATTATTATGATAGTTAAACAGTACTCAAGACTGATATATACAAGTAACAGTTACCAAATTGCATTGGAAACGGACCGATTAAATGGCAGTACATCATTTAATTATTTATTTATTATAAATTGTTTAGCATTAAAATAACACCATAGGAAAGTTTTATAAAATTAAGGGATAAACTAATATTTTTGAATTTCAACTTTTTAAAATAACGATTTTTATTTTATAAATGAGTAAATCAAAACCCTATACATACTTCATTTGTAATTGACCAATGAATGTTCTGTACAAAAACTTCTTGTTATATACATTTGATGTTTATAATCTGTCAGTAATCATGAAATAGATTCGTAAAGACCAGACCATATGAAAACAGTAAGTAAATTCTTCCAACCATTAGTTTTTTAAATACTTGTAGCTTGTTTCAAAACTTCTAATCGAACAGACCTAGATGCATAAGGTCCTTCACAATATTGAGGTAAATGTTCATTTTGGTTTTGATTCTGTAATTTTCCTACACTACGTTACATGCAAATGCAAAATTATAAGTGTTGTCTCTTCAGTCCAATTTATTAATTAATTTTGTTTTGTGAAAACTTCGAT